AGCTACCGCACACACGGTTCGCATTTAAACAGATGTTCGTTGTAGCGAACGCAAACTAAACTTGGACGACGGTATCTCCGAGCTACAATGTAAAAGTGAGCTAGAAGCTCATGACTTGGATGAATGGCGCTTCAGACATGAAGCGCTGTCTCTTAAAACGAAATCACCAATTTGACATCAAGGTTGCCATTATCACTCAGCCACAACGGGTGTGGTCCCCAAATGATGAAAGTAAGATTGCAATTCAAAAAATAGCAGGAAAAGCGATCGGAATGTGGTACAAACTTTGAAAATTCCTGTCATCCAATATGCCTACGGATGTGATGGACACCTTGCTGCGAATAGACAAGATAACGCTTACCAACACTGGTGCGTTTACCACAGGGTCACTATGCAGCTCCGAACACAGACATTGCCTAAACACTATAGAAGCAAAGGTTGGTAGCTCAGGTTGTTCAGTTGATGGTCTAAGTGTTCGCCAAGCTCTGCAGTTTGACTGTAGTCAGCAAAGACTCAGACCACCAATTGTCTAAACACTCCGATAGTTAAAGGAGAAGTATGTTCTCAACTGCCTAATAACACAGCACACTACACAACAAACCGGAATGGCCCCAGTGTCTGTGTCGGTGATTCAAAGAAAAAAGATTGGCAGCCGACACCACAGGGTTCTGCATAGAGTCACACCTGCAATTCAGATCGACAAATACGTTCATAACCGCTGAGGATCTAGTGTGCTTGTACACCAACGCACAAGGCCTACTCTATAGGTTACCCGAGTTTCATACTGATCAGATCTCGGCGCCTTGCGACATCGTCATCGTAACCGAAACATGTCTGAATACTGAGATCATTGACGTGTCACCACTTTCAGACATGATTCTTCTAGGAAACGATCGACCCAGCACAGGAAGTGCAGTAACCTTGTATTATCGACCTGACCTGCATATCAAAACTCTCGCAGATCTGCGAGCAGCATAGCCCCGACTATAAGATTTACCCATGTCATCTACAATGTGTTGATTGTGATCATGAAATTGCAGTCTCCGTACATCCACAATACTCCCGATGACCATAGCATACACTCGTAAGGATTGAAGGAACCATCTACCGAGTGTTTATTGCAATTCTTTCGAAGATGATCTGAAGACGAACAGATTTCAACAGTTTGAAATCAGGCCATCCATATTGCTATTATTAACGGCGCTACAATGCACAGCTCGCAAAATATCACCTAGGTGATCGCGAAAGCTAGGTAACCAATCATCGTTGGGTCATTTGTGAGCCATCCGGAAATATTCAGTCAACAATGGCACGCCGTAGTTCCCCAGAAAGAAGCTTCACGGAAGCCGCAAGATGTAGCAACTATCAAAGAAATCCCAACTTTGCCGGCAGCCGTATTCGGTCGTCTTTTGTTAGATAGATTGGTGGTGTACTCTGTCAGAGGCCGATGCCGAGCGCAGTTTAAAGTCGGTAGTTCGACGCAGATGCTTTTCGTTGAGGTGTTCTGCTATGCTTAGTGCTGAGACGAAGTCCACTCCTTAAGCTTTTAGGTATTGCAACTCGCACCGATCTTTGTTAGGCCGTGGCGAGTTGCCAACGGTCAAGCATGCAATGCGTTGCTCGAACTGGATCTGGTTGACGCTTATGCATCATCGACAAGGGACTCTTTGTAGTTTAACAATAAGAACTTCAAACAATTTGAGTGGGCAACCGATAAAATAGCATGTGCATTATTAGTGACAAAATACACTGCCCAAAGTCGCGGGAACGTGATATTTGAGATGCAGGTCCCCACGATGTGAAAGTGCGGAATCATCCCGCCAATCTACAAAAGTGGCAGCCTGCTGAACCAACAAATTATCGCCCGATAACACTACTTCCTGTGATCTCCAAGGTTATGGAGTCCATTGTAGCTGAGGCTTTGATGGGGTACCTGGAGAACAACAAAATTCTCCTTCCGGAGCAACACGGATTTCGCCAAAATCGGTCCTGTACCACTAATCTGTTGATTACTCGTGCATGCTGGACGGAATCTGTGGACGCTGGTGTAGGAGTCGACGCGGCCTACCTGGGTTTCTCAAAGGCATTCGACCGTCTAGACCATCGCATTCTCCTCCACAAACTCCAGAAATATGGAATCGGCGATCTTGTTCTGGTCTGGATAGGAGCCTTTCTCGTGCAACCTCACCTGAATGTGACGGTGTGAAACAACCTGTCGGCATCCATCGAAGTTCAGTGCGGCGTACCACAGGACTCGGTAATTAGACCCCGCCTGTTCCTTGTTTTCATAAATGTTCTCGCGAGCGTGGTATCTTCTAACCGTTTGCTATTTACTAATGATCTAAAGGTATGGCGTACTATAGCTGCAGTGGAGGATCACACAAGAGGACCTGGACAAAGCGTACACATGGTCCATCGAGAACATGCTGCATTTCAACGTCACCAAGTGCAAGGTTCTCAGCATACGGCATAAGAGTATGCACAAGTACCGCCTAGGACCACAAATTCTACAGCGGGCTTCTCACGTGTGCGATCACGGCGTGATAGTTCAAGATGAACTCGGTTGTTAGAGGCAGACTGAAAAGGCATCTAAGAAAGCAAACCAGTACCTCGGCCTTCTTCGCAGAGCTTTCGGGAAGTTTGACCCTCCAGTCTTTCCAAAAATGCTTAGTGCGTATGTGAGGCCACAAGCGGAATACGCTATTCAATCGTGGCAACCCTGGCTCAAGCACCATCTCACCGCGCTCGATACTGCACAACGTAGGGCAGCGAAGAGCGTCAGATGTTTGACCGCCCTCCCCCGCCCACTCAGGCTGAAGACTCTCAAAATATACAGTGGATGTTATCGGCGTCTAAGAGGCGTTCTCATAATGGGGAACCAGATTCTGAGAAACCACAACCACCCATGTCCTGCCCTTCTAATGCTCAGTCAAAACATCCCGCTAAGTGGTCACCATTTTAAGCTGGTCAAGCAGTACAGCCACCTGGAATGTCCGCAGAACTTTTTCTCCTTTCAAGTGTCACAGCCTTGGAAAGCCCTCCCGGAACATGTAATTAACGCTCCCACCCTATCCCTTTTCAAAAACACCTTGACGATCCTCTGTCACATTTACACTACGTGCTATAGCCCATGACCACCAGATGCTGGCACTAATGCACAACAGACAGTGGATAGTGCCATAACACTACCCGAGACTGAGTCGCTCCAAACCCTTTGCACACAATTTGATAAACGCTACTAGTGTAGAAACTGAATTTCTGTATTTCCTTGTCCCGAGATAGATGCACACGAGTAAGAGTTGTCCTTGCTATTTTTTATTTATTTTCTCGCTTACTACGTGATCAATAACCACCCCCTTATTGTTTTGTGTGCGTACATTCTCATTTCAAACTCCCTTTATACGGCAGTGCAGTTAAATCTGTAATCGCCCGAACGGAGGACTCCATTATCCCTTGATATACCTTTTCTCACTCTAAACACCCTACGGGACATGTCAAGCACCTGCATTTTTACCCGTTATAAATCATTGTTCATTCATCAGCTGTCATCGTAAGCCGATTGTTTGATTTTCCCAGCACACATTCATGCCACCGTCGATTTTGAACCACTGTCGTCATAGCCCGATTTGGTGTCGTTTCGACTTTGACCCTAATGCAGGCATGGTGCATATCGTAGGTTAGACACGTCGTGCATAAATCATCTAACTAAGCTTTTGTGGTACCCCCTTTTTACTTGTTAGCGCTTGGTTGCCTTACGCGATGCGTTATATAAGGTGACTTCCTTCGCTACATATTGACGATCGTGTTCACTTCTGCTAGTAAAACCAGCTTGTTTTACGGCAGGTTTGCACGTTCTCAGATGGATCTATTTTCTCAGCATTTTACCAGTTTTCATACTCGAGGCGACAGACTACATTTCGATTGAGCTCTGAATTATGGTTGGCTCACTAGTAATTACAGCGTTTCATTCCCATCAATGTCGTCTGAAAACATGACATGAGCAGACGGAATCCATACTCTTCATTTATGGAATCGAACGGAAACTAACGAGATTCCATTCTGAACTTTATCCCCGTATTTCTTCAGCGGCGTATATGCTATAGTCGAATCTTCCGACGAACAACGACCATAATAAGCTATTAAATTAGCCGTTTTACAAAGAGTAGCAGACGGTGAAAGCATTTCCAGGCCCCTAAACGATTCGAAGCATGGCACCCTAAAGCCATTTTCAACTTCTGCGTGAAAATGAAAGCTCACATAGCTAAATGCATCCCATGACAAATTTCTCAAAGCAATTTAGTAAACCCAGTGATGTCACCAACATCTTGTGCGCGACTCCAAATGCCGCGCTAGCACAGGCGCATAGAACTACTGACAAGAGTTGAGATAAGATAAGTTGAGATTAGTTTAGCGAGTCACGACGCTAGAAGTTCAGGAGTTACAGAGGCGCTGATCAACACGTCTTGTCCCGCCCCGAACCTTGCAACCTATGATTACACCAACTATTTTATAGCATCATTAGCAACCCGGCAGCCCCAGGTGTAAATTTATGCTTGTGTTAAACAACAACTTGGAGGCAGGTCAAATCTTGCACACAAGTACATAACTCGTGTACATAAGGAAACGACATACGGCGAACGAACAGCGTATTTATGTGTAAAGCGCGGTCGAAATTACACCTATGTTCATGTCGATCCCATGACGAGTCCATGGAAAGACGCTATGATTGGTCCACACTGAATTTCGAGTTTGTGGATCGCGTTACCATCCCACTGAACGCGCGAAGCTTATGTACTAGCAACCAAACAATGTGCCAATGTACAAAATAAAAGTCTAACGGAGTATGGGCAACTTTGAACTTAGTAGTATAAAAGTATACAATAGCGCAAGGAAAAATAGTTATCACTCGGGTAAAACACGGTCGGGGTGTGCGTTGTCAAATGAGGGCACCCAGATCGTTCGATTTATGGGAAGCATGAACGTCAGGTAACCGCCTCAATTTACATGGACACGGGCAACAAAACAACGTAGTCAAAGTCACTAAATTCAAAATTACCAGGACAATAATCAGAATGGCATACTGATTCATGAACGTTCCTTTTTGCTTCACCATGAGACTGGATTCAGATGGCATGGGTGTGCCTCCTCCACTGTCCACTGCGGTCCATTTCGATGGAACATACAACACATTCAGATACATTACACCGGTTGAATTCAATTGCGAGTCCCCCAACTCATTCACACGTAGTACTCTGCCCACCACATGGCGCAGTTCTGTAAGCTTCACCGACGCACAACACACAGGCCACAAACAATTGGCCAGCTGTGTACAACTTCCTTTCGGATCGGAAATGAAACGGCCCTGAGACTCCCCATTGCAGGCGCAATTCCTTCGCCGAGTACATTTGACTCGTTCATCGGAACACGTGGTAACAGGTTGATATTTGATACATTCGACGTCTCGTGCCAAATCTGCAATTGTTCTCGGGATGATCATCCATTTAGACCAGGTGGCGGAACAGGGATAATCCATTTGGGTGTTAGACCCATTCTCGGGTGATGTGCCCCCTGGCACCGCTCCAATGACGAAACCAGTTATTACTGCGAGTATGCAGAACGCAGTCATCAGTATGCGAAGGTGAGATACAACTGAGGTCACCGGATTCGCGGCAGTTGAGTGAACCAGGCTCATAGTCGCGCCCACGTGCTTAGGCCACATGACAGGTGGCCCAACAGTTGCCGTAATTAGTAGTGTAGGTTGACCAATCAGGTCACAGAAACGAACGCAGCTTGGAGTCCGTCTGAGTGCATGCTGGTGGCGTGATGTGAGGACTGTGAGCATAGCGTTTCTAGACGAAATGGGATTGAGTGGGGGATAAGCTAAATTCTGCAACTCATGCGTGGTGTAGAGGGATTGCCATTCGGTTGCTTCTCCAGTTTTCCTCGTGCTTGTTATGGTGGTAATCGATGTTTGTACCCTGGCATTTATGCAAAACACGAAGTGATGCATAAGTAAGAGACCGATCGAATACCTTCGTCATTTCTGGACGCTTCAACGCAAAATTGATTACTAAACAGTTCGAGACCAACAACGTGTTATCGTTTGCCACAAGTTCGATGTTTACCACCTCTGTTGCGTGCGAAGGCTTAATAGGTTCATTGTTGGATCTTGGAGTACCGTAGTGTGACTGCAATCCGACACAAAATTTCGACTAAGGCCACTCTTTACTTTGAAGCAAGCGTCTGCCATTTCCGTCATTGGGAACGCATTCAGAGTGGAGAGTTTTGGATCTACTCTCTCCCAGCGCTGCACTAGTGGTGGTTCGTGCAACCTGTTAGTGGACAGTAGGCTACCACAGTATAATGTATTAAGGTGTCTTAGAATTATACCGGGGAATAGTCGTAATCTGTACTGTAAACTAACGCGCTCTTCAGTTTTTACACTCTGAGCCGGTCTATGGTCAATGATCAATGGTATATTGCGGATAGAAAAAGCCGAAGCTTGACATATCCCGCCGGATGATCGGTTAGGCGTGAGCAAAATAAAGGCAAAAATGGCAATAGAAAATAGTGAAAAACTGCAAATTGCGAACTTGCCGATTACAGCGTTCCCGTCCGTTGCATATACTATCCAAGGTTATCGTCTGTGGTTTCTGGGATAAATTTGAGGTGGGTTGGTTTGTTTTTGTTTTCTGATGTTTGTGTGGGTCGTTTGGATTACGTGATATGGTATAGTATGGCCAATGCACTGTCGACACGAGTTTTGAACGCGGCTAACGTGGTGGCTGAAATAACAGCTTCTGAGAAGATATTCCACCTGTGGCAAGCACGCAGCGAGAAGAAGTTTCTTCGGCAACCCAACCGACTGTATTGTTTTGTCAATTTGAGATGTTGACCTCTCAGTTGGCTATTGTGACTCAGTTTCAGTAGGTGATGGCAGGGGTGATTAGCGTTGTTTAATATTTAGTAAACCATGATTAGGTCACCACGCAAGCGGCGATAGCGTCCACTGAAAATGCCAAGCACTCTGAGGCGATGTTCGTATGACGTGTGGCGCAGCACCTTGACTTTTTGGTCGCCCGACATTGTGGAAGCTCAAATGCCGTGAGATCCCGCTTTAGCCATGAGGGGCATGCTTGGATTACATATTCACTATGAGAGAGTATGTAATCGAAAAGTATTTGGCGGAAAATCGCCGGTTCGAATTGCCCGAAAGCTCTCCGTAAAAGCCTCACGATTTGGTTCCCATTCTTCGATGCCTTGTTTGACTGCCCCGCGCAGTCCAGATTTTCCTGGACTAACATACCGAGATCCTTTCCGAGGAAACAGTGTTGCAGATCCTGGTCCCCCAGCTTATATGTGTGAACCATTCAATGGCTTAAAAGAAGCACTCGACTTTTAACGATTTTGGACCGACCATCCATAGATCCTGTCAAGGTCGATTTGAAGCTAGATACGGTCTTCCGGATCTCTGATCACTCGCCAAACTTTGATGTCATCTGTATAGAGTAAACTGTTTGACGTAATTTGACTCACTGGATGGTTTATGAAGACCAAGAATAGACGGGACCCAATACCGAACCCTGTGGCACTCCGCATTCGACAGGAATTGAGTCTTACCTGGATTCACGTACTCTCACATCCAGACGTCTGTGCGAGAGAAAATTGCAGATCCACTCGAGAAGGGGGTCACAGATGCCACATCCTTGGAGTTTGGCGAGAAGGACACGATGGTCCAACCGCTTAAATGCCCTAGAGAAATCAATATAAGCCACATCAACTCCTGCACCAGCGTCCAAGTTTTCGGCCTAGCTGTCTCGTGCTAACACTAGGTTGGTTGTGCACGACCGATTCTGGTAGAAGCCGTGTTGCCTCTAAGCAACGTAATCGAAGTCGTCCAGATAAGACACGAGTACGTCGGAAACCATAGTCTCCATAAGGTTTGAAAGAACTGACAGTCGAGTCACTGGTCGATAATTAGCTGGGTCGGAACGACTACCCCCTTTGTAAATGGGAGTTATCATTCCGTGTTTCCACATTTCAGAAACATGCCGCTCGTCAAGGCAGTGCCGGAATAGCCGCGTCAAAGGTTCAGCCGAAATACTAACCGCCACAGCAAGCGTCTTTGGGCGGATGTCCTCAATTCCTGGACAGGTGTGCAGGCGCAACGATAGCAGCTTTCTCATCCCGATGTCTGCCGTGAATTTTTTATGACTGGGTTTTGGTCTGGGCACCACAGATTGCAATGATTCAGGAGACCACGGGATGCAATGCAACTATGGTGCAGTCCGAGTTAGATCATCCGCTGTCTGAAGGCGGGGAAATTCACTGTTCACCTTGCGGAGGCTGTTCACGTGCTTGTACGGAAACTTAGGATTTGAAGTTAATCACCCTACTAAAGCAGGTTGATAATCTACTTCGTCCTCGCGCACTAATTGGGTACAATGATTACGGTGGACAACACCTGCCTTCCGAGTACTCGGACTCGCATCGGTTTTGTGGGTATACCACGCCATGTTGCACATCACCATGCGTTTGCGTGTCCTACTCCGTATAAACGACGCCACCTTTCTCGAACTGCTAGTCTTGGTTTCGAATGTTCCACTAACCAGGGTGTTAATCTTACTGACGAAAAGTGCGTAGGCAATATCGGGTGAATCCTCGGTTGGGAAACTCCAGTCGGTCGCTTCAACGAGTCGGATTAAGGTGTCGTAACTGGTTCCGGTTCGCGTTGTTTGTGTCCGGTCCTCGGGATATTCAGCATAGCAAGTGTACAAGAAATGTAAAATCGCTTGATCACTACGGCCTAAAGGAGTATCGATTGTCACTCTCTCGATCAGCAGTTATTCATTAGTGAATATTCGGTCCATTATGGATGGCCTGTTATTTTTCCTGCATCTGGTGGGCGAAATGACGTGGCCATAAAGCAGCAAATCTAAGACAAGGTCTTGCAGGTCTCCTTTGCATTGCTCTACCGGTGTGGCCTGGGATTCTAGAATGTGTAAGTTGAAATCGCCGGCGACTAGAATGTGACTGTACTTTCTGTATAGCACATGCCTCAATGCAGCCACCAAGTTGCAGTCAATCTCAGGGGTAGGCGATGGTGGGCGGTAAACAACAACCAATAGGCCAAGATCATTCGCTCTCAGTCGGAAGCTGCGTCAAGTTGAGTCAGGTACGTCGGTTTCCGAATCGTTTATAGGTTTGCACTACAGGTTGTTACGAAAGTGGAGGGCTACCCCACCACATTTGCTGGCTCGATCATGCCGGACAACGGACATGCCTGTTAGCGCGCTTTCGGCATCCGTCATCTCATACCACAAGCACGTTTCGGTGACATCGATGAGGTCCCAAGCTGCTGACGCGCGAGACGAATTCGGTATATAGTCAAGTATCAGATGCTCCGGATCGCGGTGTTCTCTTGTGTTCTGCTGTGTCCCTCCGGATGTTATAGCTACTGCTGAAACCATCACCGAGTCAGGTCCTACAGTTGGTGTTTTCCTTGAGATTTGTGCCTCCACTGAATTGTCATTAGTCGGTGCTTGTGCTGCTGCTGCATTCAAACGAATTTCGGTCGGCAATCTGCTAAGAAACTTAGTCCAGCTCTCTGAAGAGTTTCTTCTGTTAGTTCGGATTGCAACACCAGTTTCAACAGCCTGGGACCGCATCCCTTATACTTCTCTGCTAAGGAGATCCATTATAACGCGGTGGCCACGACATTTTGGAGAGAAGGTGCCGCACGGCTGAAGTGCCATTGCTCCCGGTCGTGCATCTGAGCATCGTTGGAAGAGGGATCAGTAAGCTTAGGAACACCGTGAGTAATCACAATTTGCTTATCTTGACTTTATCTGTCCCTCTCTCTGTTAGTGGGGTCCGCTGCACCTTCTTTCCACAGGATTGCAGGTAGTATGCCAACTCCACATGATACGTTGCGGAATCGATTCGCAAACAACAGAACGGCCTTTGTCTCATCCACCGAGCTTAGTGTTACCCGAAGTAACAGGGGTACATCGTAGTGCAATGCGTTTGGGTGACACGAGGTGCGTTTAAATGTCATGGGATCAGCATGGGCACCGATCGACGTACAGATGGAACTCCAATTATTTCGATCGTCTCTCAGCCTACCCTTAATTATATTGGATTTGGCTTCGGGGACATTAGTGCACACAAGGTTTAAGACAGCATGGTTGCGCCTGGTGGCTACTGGTTTTGGATTTGCAGCCTTAGTATCCGGTGCTTTTGGTGAATTTGTGCACGGTACTGATGGGGCCATTCGTGCTGCGACTGTATAGTTTTCTCTAGTTCGGCCACCAAGCCCACCGGTGTTATTTCCGCTGTTTGCTTGGCGGCAACCGATGCGTATGTTACCATGGTTCCTCACTATCGCTGGTTGACGGCTGCTTAGGGTCTCCTGTATAGCGAACAAACTACTAGGTGTAACACACTGTACAGAAGTTGAATCCGGCACAATGCAGACAATGTATTTTATTTATGGGCAAGAGAGAAGAGAGTTAATACCGATTGTGAATGAGTCATTGGGGTAATGTTGGGACGCCTAGCTCTCTTCTTTGGCCTGAGTGGGGAATTCGGGGTGTTATTTTCACATACAAATGCAAGTCCGTTTCCCTACAAAGATGTAATCATGGCGCACACCAGTTGCTCAACTGCTTCTGTGAGTCATTCACACTTCTT